AGCTTTCATCTAGTTTTCTCTTGAATCTCTTTATTCATCTCATCTCATCAAACTTTGTCTCGTCTCATCTCATTCTCTGCTCTTGTCTCATCTCAGCTTTCATGTAGTCTTCTCTCGAATCTCTTGATTTGTCTCGTCTCTTCTCATCTCATCTCGTCTTGTCTTGTCTCGTCTGATCTCATCTCATCTCATCTCATCTCATTCTCTACTCTTGTCTCATCTCAGCTCTCATCTAGTCTTCTCTTGAATCTCTTGATTCATCTCATCTCATCTCATCTCATCCTCTACTCTTGTCTCATGTCAGCTTTCATATAGTTTTCTCTTGAATCTCTTTATTCGTCTCATCAAACTTAGTCTCATCTCATCTCATCTCTCATCTCAGCTCTCATCTAGTCACATTTCTTGATTCATTTAATCTCATCAAACCATGTCTCATTCTCATCTAGTCTCATCTCTTGATCTTATTGTATCAAACTTTGTCTCTTCTCTCATATCATCTCAGCTCAGCTCATCTCTCCTCTTTTATTTTCTCTTACCTTCTCATCTTTTTTATAGTTTTCTTATATTAGCTTATCTCTCCTTTAGTCTCATTTCATTTGTGTTCTATCATCACTCGTCTCAGTCTTGTCTCATCTCTTCTCTTCTCTTCTCTTCTCTTCTCTTCTCTTCTCTTCTCTGAAGTGAACTCATTGCAGTCGGTTTGAATAACATTGTTACTTTAGTATAGTCAGTTTGATCTTTTAAGTCAATACTATGACTTAAAGTGAGTAATTGTGATGGTGTGACTATGCTAACACTTTGGTAGAATCTGTGATTAATATTATTGCTTCACTGAGTCATTGTTAGCCCTGTGAATAGTACTAAATGTCAAAAATGTCATATTTCTGTCTTGTTTTTCAGTTAAAATATCTTAAGACCCTTGAAACAAGATGTGTCATTGACAAGCAAAACTGTGCAAGATATTAAAACTTGTTTTCATAGATTGTATCTTACTGAATTTTGCCTTGTTTTCCTATGTTTGTAACTCGTTTATCCTTAAACGTGAAAAAATATCAAAATACACTTAAAAAATATATTCTCTGAAAACAAGCGTTAATGTATTTTGCATTGTAAAATATTTTCTTAATGCATTTAGCTTGTTATAGGATTTTTTTATATATATTTTAAACAAACAAACAAAGAAAAAGACCGGCTAGCTAAGAACAAATAAAAACCAAGAAGTCATTTTCCCCCATTTAATTATATATATATAATCTCAGCTCTCATCTAGTCTTCTCTTGAATCTCTTGATTCATCTCATCTCATCTCATCTCATCCTCTACTCTTGTCTCATGTCAGCTTTCATATAGTTTTCTCTTGAATCTCTTTATTCGTCTCATCAAACTTAGTCTCATCTCATCTCATCTCTCATCTCAGCTCTCATCTAGTCACATTTCTTGATTCATTTAATCTCATCAAACCATGTCTCATTCTCATCTAGTCTCATCTCTTGATCTTATTGTATCAAACTTTGTCTCTTCTCTCATATCATCTCAGCTCAGCTCATCTCTCCTCTTTTATTTTCTCTTACCTTCTCATCTTTTTTATAGTTTTCTTATATTAGCTTATCTCTCCTTTAGTCTCATTTCATTTGTGTTCTATCATCACTCGTCTCAGTCTTGTCTCATCTCTTCTCTTCTCTTCTCTTCTCTTCTCTTCTCTTCTCTTCTCTTCTCTTCTCTTCTCTTCTCTTCTCTTCTCTTCTCTTCTCTTCTCTTCTCTTCTCTTCTCTTCTCTTCTCTTCTCTTCTCTTCTCTTCTCTTCTCTTCTCTTCTCTTCTCTTCTCTTCTCTTCTCTTCTCTGATTCTCTGTTCTTGCCTCATCTCAGCTATCATCTAGTCACACCTCTTAATCTTGTCTTGTTTTCTTTCTTATCTTATTGTCTCATGTTGTCTCATTCCATCTCTTCTCAGCTGGTTTAGTTTCTTGTCTCACCTCTCAACTCACCTCTTCTCTTCTTATCTCCTTTACTTTCCTAGTTTCATCTCATCTCTTTTCTTATGTTTCATCTTAACTCATCAAACTTTGTCTCATCTAATCTCCCCTCTCATTTCATATTATCTCAGCTCAGCTCATGTTATCTCGTCTCTCCTTTCATCTCCTGTCATCATGTCTTCTTCTTTCTCATCTTCTTGTCTTGTCTTATGTTTTCTCATCTCTTCTCATCTAATTCTCTCCTCTTGTTGCATCTCTTTCAAATTGTCTCTTCTCTTATGTCATCTCCTCTCCACTTCTTTCATCTCCTCTCATATTGTCTTGTTTTATTTCTTATCTCATCTCATGTTGTCTCATCCCATCTCTTCTCATCTAGTTTAGTCTCATCTTATCTTATCTTATCTTATCTCTCAACTAACCTCTTCTCATCCCATTCTCTCCTTTCCTCTACTTTCATCTAGTCTCATCATCTCACCTATTCTCATCTAATCTCATTTCTGGAATCATCTTATCTGATAAAAACTTGTCTCTTCTGATCACTCCTCTCATCTCACCTCTTCTCATCTGGTCTCATCTCACCTCTTGATTCATCTCATCAAACCTTGTCTCATCTGATCTCTCATCTCATGTCTTCTCATCTTGTCTTCCCATTTCATTCATCTTATCTCTTCAAATCTTGTTTCATTTCTCCTCTTTTTTTCATCTTGTCTCATCTTCTCGCATCTCATCTTGTCTCACCTCTTGATTAATCTGGTCTCATTTGGTCTTTCTTCTCATCTCACTTATTCTCATCGAGTCTCATCTCTTGATTCATCTTCTCCCATCTGATCTCTCATCTCATCTAATGTCTTCTCATCTTGTCTCCCCATTTCATTCATCTTATCTCTTCAAACCTTGTTTCATCTCTCTTTTTTTTTATCGTGTCTCGTCTAGTCTCATCTCATCTCGTCTCCTGTCATCTCATCTTCTCTCACCTCAACTTGTCTCATTTGGTCTTTCCTCTCATCTCACTTCTTCTTATCAAATCTCATCTCTTGATTCATCTTCTCTCATCTGATCTCTCCTCTCATCTCACCTCATCTCGTCTAGTCTCATCTCGTCTCCTATTGTCTCATCTTCTCTCATCTCATCTTGTACCATTTGGTCTTTCTTCTCATCTCATCTCACCTCTTCTCATCTAGTCTCATCTCTTGACTCATCTCATCTAATCAAACTGTGTCTCATCTCTGTCTCGTCCAGGTCCGTGAGTGCGGTAAGAGTCTGCTGATGGCAGTGACGGGGTTAAAGTGATGCAGCAGCTGCAGTGTGTGTGTGTGTGTGTGTGTGTGTGTTAAAGAGAGAGAGAGTGAGAGAGAGAGAGAGAGAGAGAGAGCTGGCAGTGCTGTGTAATATTATGGTCTGTCTGAAGAACCGCACCCAGTTCCTGAAGAAGCCATTCATTCCTGTTTCTCATCTGTGCTCGTGTCCTCCAGGGGAATCCTGTCCCTCTGACCGCTCCAATTGGACAGTCAAACATCAGCATCTCTGTTTATGCTTGTTTGGGGATGGATGGCAGCAACTGCTGGTCAATTAAAACAGACTTTTATCCACATTCAATTACAGTTAAGTCCCTTAAAATGGAAGAACTTCATATACTCACTCTCATATCAGTCTAAACTCGTTTCAGAAGAAATCACTCTTCTTCATGCCGAGAAAGTGATTTAGACCGAGTCCAAATATGACTTGAAATGGATAGATTAGTCAGAATGATCATTCTGTCATTATTTACTCGCCCAGACCTGTATGACTTTCTTCATTGGAACACTTCAGCAATTTTAATGTCCAAACAACATTGGAACCCATTGCATTTCATTGTATGGGCAGAAAACGTTCTTCAAAGTATCTTTTTTTGTGTGTTTCACGGAAGAGATTAAGTCATACAGGTTTGGAATGACTTTAGGGAGAGTAAACGATAACAGAAAGATCATGTCATCTAAGGTCATATAATGGTTCATGTGGGGAACACACACACATTTGAATCCATGAGAATCTTAATCCTCAAATCGTTTTTGTTCTGTATATTTAAATATGACATCAAGATATACATTCACTGGCACTGAATGGAAAAGAACGGCAAAAACATTTTGTTCCACAGAAGAAAGTAAGTAAGTCATACAGGTTTAAAACGTCATGAGGGAGACTAAATGATGACAGAAAAAGGTTTAATCAAGTTAATCCAAGTTTGGTTTTAGAATTTGTAGGAAAAACGAGTCTTAAATAACTTAATTAGATTCTATTTTTAAATTTTAATAACTGAAGTATGGTTTTCATCATGAAAATAGCCAAAGAAGCTGGCATGCCATTAAAAACAAACCGATGACTGTTCAATTTTGAGTGAATTTGTCCTTTAAAACAATTATGGCAAAACCAAAAACATCTCAAATATATTTCACTGTATATATAATTTGATCTGCTTTATCACGTCATATTCGCGGTCAACAGCTGGCGCAGGTCAGTGTGACCATGCTGTTCCCCTGCATCGCAGAACCGGCTCAAGGGACACCTGTCACATCACACACCGAATATGCATCATAATAGCAACCTTAGCAGAGAGCAGGCATCCCAGAATCCTTCACTCGGCACTCTTTAGCCCTGAACCCCAGAGTCCGGCTGTCGAGCTGAATTGTTTGGCTGTATAAACGAAGTCTGAAGCGAGCAGATTTAGCACATGCTGCTGTAGCACCTCGCTGATAGAGCCGTGATTTACCGTGTCTATAAACGCCGCCATCTGACAGACAGCCGATTCACCGTGAGCACCCTTGGAGCCCGCTCCCCTTACGCCGCTGATTTAACAAGTTTGGTCCAATAACTAAAGCCAAATGGTGTTTTAATGAGCGCTAATGACCATTGTGAATGGTGCTTTCCTCATCTTCGCGTGGCATTGTGTAAAGCCTCACCTCCTCGAACCCTGCGGGACTCCTGTGTGTGACATTTTGAGAGCACGTCCATTTATCACTGTGCTTATGAGCTTTCTCTTTCCTCTGCAGATCGTCTTTGAAGCGGTGACCTCTGGGCAGCGCGGCTTTCTGGCCATCAAGGATGTCGTCCTCCAGGGCCATCAGTGCAGTAAGACCCGTCTCTGTCGTAAAAACACCCTCATCACCCGCTCCTTGGCCTTTTCCTGGCACCCTCCAAATATCAATATCGTCTGTCTTTCTCCAGTCATTGAAGTCGAGCCATAAAAGAGAGCGTAATAAAGAAAACAAAAGACTGAAAAGAGAAGGGAAGAAGACGATAAAGCTTTCATGTAATGCTGGAGAGATATCAGTTAGCAGGATGAATGGAGGAGGATGGAAAGGGTCAAGTGGGATTCTGCTGTCTACTTAGACGGCATCTTAAAGGGGTCATATGATGTTGCGAAAAGTAACATTATTTTATGTATTTGGTGTAATGAAATGTGTTTATGCGGTTTAAGGTTCAAAAAACACATTATTTTCCACATACTGTACATTATTGTTTCTCCTCTATGCCCCGCCTTTCTGAAACGCGACTGGAGTAATGATGCTGAAAATTCAGCTTTAATCTCAGGAATTAATTAAATTTTACAATATATTCACATAGAGAACAGCTATTTTAAATGATAATAATATTTCACAATATTACTGTTTTTGCTGTATTTTTGAGCTAATAAATGCAGCCTTACTGAGCAGAAGAGATTAAAATTCTTAATTATTCCTAATTTAGGCATATTCATAAAATAATGAATTAGTTCATTTTTTATTATGATGCTTTTCATTATTGAATTAAACATGCATTGTCTGCTGAATATTCAGCTTTGCATCACAGGAATAAATTACATTTTAAAATATGTTAAAATAGAAAACAGTTGTTTTAAAATTAAATAAATAAAATAAGTAAAATAAAATAAAAAATATAAATAAAATAAAATAAGTACAATAAAATTTAAATAAAATTGTCATTTTAAATTGCTGGGTAGTAACTGATTACATGTAATCAGATTACAAAAAAATTAAATGTATTTATATATATATATATATATTTATGGTAACACTTTACAATAAGGTTCATTAGTTAACATTAGTTAACTACTTTAGTTAACATGAACTAAGAATGAAATCAAAAAGAATCAAACTTTGTGCTTGTTAACATGAGTTAATGCACTGTGAACTAACAATGAACGACTGTATTTTCATTAACTAACATTAACAAAGATTAATAAACACTGTAATACATGTATTGTTCATTGTTTGTTCATGTTAGTTAATACAGTAAGTAACATTAACTAATGGAACCTTATTGTAAAGTGTTACCATATTTATTATACCTAATTCTTCTTTTTGTCTGTTTTAAATGAGCTTTTACTGTATTCATATGATAGAATGGCCATGAGATGCATACTTCACTACATAATATATAAATAATGCAGTTTAGAGCAGAAGTGTGCAGATGCTGATGAATGTGACTGTAACACCATTTGATTGGATTATCCTCATATGAACGGTTTATTGTTCAGTGATTGTGAATAGAATACAGATTATAGATGGTGAAGTAGATATTCAGTCCCTTAATAGCAGATTAAACCAGGAATACGTCGAGCTCAAGTGGATTTACTGAGAAAATACGGTTTCACTGGCAGTGCTCAGAGTGACATACTACTGCGTATGAAAGAAAGAAGTATGCAATATGAATTTAGGCACAAAATGGAATTGGGATACACATGGAATGCCCAGATGATCTAAAATTGCAATAGTGTATACTATAATGCACTGCACTTCACTTTTTAGGGATTTTCCCTTTTTAGGGATGAATGGACCGGACTAAACATTCTTAAATCAAAATACAAGCGAAATGACATGAGATATTAAGTATTGTTTTCTGAAAAACGTATCGAAACTAAGTGAGTTTAAGCTTAAAACATGGAAAAAAAACCTGCTAATGAGGTAAAAAAATAAATAAAATAGATTTAACCCTTGCACTGTGCTGAAAATCCTTTACCTAATTTTAACTGGCCTTTTCAAAATCATTATGCTATATAATCACCAAATATTAGATTCGATCTTTTGATTGTTTACTTTTTAATTTATTTGTGGATAATTTTAGCAATATTCACTCAAAAACTGAAGTGCATGAGCTCAGATCAACGAGGCCTATGATCAATCAGTTCTAAACAGAAACACAAACCCTGTGCTGATTGAAACAAAATCAAGTGGACAAAAAGATTAAATCCAATATTTGTTAATAATATAGCATAAGAAATTAAATTTTTTTAGGCCGGCCATTTTTGATCGGGAACACCACAAGTGTAACAAGGTGGGGAAAAAATCCCCAAAACAATAAAATAAAAAAAAAAAATAAAAAAATAAATAAATAAAATAAAATAAAATAAAATAAAATAAAATAAAATAAAATAAAATAAAATAAATAGTTTATTTATTTATTTATTTTTATTTTTTATGTTTTTGTCCAATGCAATACATTAACTAGCATTTTTAGGAAAAAGAAAATCCTCTCCAGGTCAAAATGACCAAAACACAACATATGGGTGAATTCAGAGGAAAAACAAATTTATTTTTCTGACCTCATTGGCATAAATATATATATATATATATATTTGAATTTTTTTAAGCTTAAACTTACTTAATAAAAAAAATTAAAAATACAAGACACAATATCTTCTCTCATTTTGCTTCTCAAGTAAATGTATCTTGACGTAAAATCAAGCTTGAGCTAGAAATCATTAAACATACAGTATGTGTACTGAAAATGTCCCCTGCCAACAAGTTCAGCTATTTGCACTTAGTGTAAATCAACACTGCCTAATATTTAAGACATAATGTGCATTATAGAATATATATACACACCCTGGAGCATAAAAGCAGTCATAAGGGTCCATTTTTCAAAATTGAGATATATACATCATCTAAAAGCTGAATAAATAATCTTTCCATTGCTGTATGGTTTGTTAGGATAGGACAATATTTGGCTGAGATACAGCTATTTGAAAATCTGGAATCTGAGGGTGCAAAAAAAAATCTAAATATTGAGAAAATCATCTTTAAAGTTGTCCAAATGAAGTTCTTAGCAATGCATATTACTAATCAAAAAATAAGTTTTGATATATTTACAGTAGGAAATTTACAAAATATCTTCATGGAACATGATCTTTACTTAATATCCTAATGATTTTTGGCATAAAAGAAAAATGTATAATTTTGACCCATACAATGTATTGTTGGCTATTGCTGCAAATATACCCCAGCGACTTAAGACTGCTTTTGTGGTCAGAGGTCAATATCAACATGTTTATATAGTGTTAATGAAGGATTTGTGAAGGATGATTGTGTTGAAGCTCTGATGAGTGCATGCATACGGCACAGCATCGCTCTCTGACGGTCTCGCTATCATCATAGCGGAAAGAAACGCTTCTTTAGCGATCAGAGAGAGAAGATGGGTGCTGGAGATATAAAGGTGGCTGCTGAAATATTGAAGAGCGCGAGGAAGAACGGAGACAGGCACTGATTGAATTAGCAGTGTTTCCGCGGATCAACTCAAGGTCACAGTGGCCCGAGTCAAATATTAGACATCATAACCTGATTTAAATGAGCTTTCATCTCACAGATGCGTTTGGTTTTAAATGCACATTGACCCAGATATGAGTGCGCTTTGTAGCAGAGACTAATGAGAACTCGCTGTTAAATCAATAGAGTTAAGGTTAAACTTTTAGGGGAATATTATTAGCTGAGTGCAGATTAAATGAGAAACCAATAATGATTTTTGTGTTGCACTCGTTCTGAAAAACAAGGAGGTCGAGAGGGAGATATTGATGTCGGTAATAAAACATCTTTGGCGCAGTTGAAGAGACTGAGGTTAAGATCACATTGAACCCTAATAAATGAATCACTGTGTGTGCTGTTGGATTTACAGTAAAACCAGTAGAGAGTTGTAAATGAGTGAGAAGAGCGGCTCAGATCATCTGATGAGAAATATTTGAGATCCTCTCGAGATCTCTGACTTTTGATCGTTTGGCAAATCTGAGCAGAGTTTGAGACATCGTTGAGATCTCATCTGAAACTCGAGAGATTATTGAAGTCTTTTTGGTGTTTTTGGACACACTGTGTGTTTTATTGAGCTAGAGAGAATATGAGAGATGTTTTAGTCTCGGTGAAACTAAGATTTGTTTTCAAAATACTTGTTTTAAGTATAAGCCTTATTAATTTTGTGAAAAAAGTACCAAAGAAAGATCATTAAAAACGAAAAAAAAAAAATGTAAATAAAATATTATAAATTATTTATTAGGTAAATAATTAACATGTAAATGTAACATATACATATAATATATAAATAATTAATTTAAAAATATTTATAAAGGAAACAATGTTTTATTTGATAGATTTTGTTCTTGTTTTAGGGATACAATGCACTAAATTTTGTTAGGTCTATGCTTAACAACATTTCCACTTCAAAAAAATAAATAAATACATAAAATAATTATTTTCTGGAAATAAGTTTTAATGCCTTGTGCAATTTTGCATTTTAGGTAATTATATCTTAACTTGTAGATATAGTAACTTTAAGTCAAAATAAAAAATATTGATATTTTTTAAAGGAAATTGTAGATATAGTTTGGTTTTGATGCAACAGTCATTATGCACATTATAGTGAATAAAATTCTTAGTCATGAATATGAGAAATATTTGAGTTCCTAAGGTCTTTGGCTCTCGATTGCAAACTTTGTTTTTTGTCAAAACTGATCAGAGTTTGAGACACTCTTGAGATCTCATCTGAACCTCTGCAGGAGACGAGAGCGATTATTGTGCTCTATTTCTCTTTCATCTCATTGCTGAGGATCGGTCGAGATGTTAATGAGATCTCATTCATGTCTCTCGTTTGCTGTTACATTGACGTGTTTTTGGATCCCCGCCTCCAAAGTCTCAAAAGTCAACTTGACGAGCGAGCAGGGGTTGAGCAGTTGAGAGGGCGTAGAGATGGTCGAGCGAGAGCTACTCAGCGCCGTTCTCGCGAGAGCACATTTTTGCACGCGGATACTGTTCTGTGTGCTCATATCATGTGCGCGCGTCTTGTTTTATATGCGCGAGATTTGACACTATTTAAACGCCATAGAAATCATTCTAATATGCTGATTTGCTGCTCAA